CATACTATGCCTTAATTATGGTGAGTTCAGTTTACTTTACTGTCCTGGGTTTTAAATGATGTTTAGGTTCTTAAAGTCATCAGACAAACAAATCATTTTATTTTGTTCACTTTATGCATCTAGTCATTTATGTTGGATTTTAACGTCCCTTGTCTCTTTAGAGTGGTCAATGGAAAGAGACTGTAGGAATGTTAGTCTAAACAATTGGAGACCACTAGGTTGCTTGCCTGTACTTTAATGGGATGTGTAAACCTAGACAAGAGTGAGGGTGTGACACAACTACTAAACATACAGCTGTGCCACAGTGCTATAATTTTGTATTAACTATTTCTAAAGTCAACAGAGGCATGTAGTATATGCAGCAGCTTATATTTCTAACAGGAAGCAGATAGCTGAGTTCATCAAAGGAAAAACAGGCACAGAACATTTAGAGGTATCAAACATGCATATCTACAATACATTAAAAACTTTTTTAGGGAAGATGATGGTTGTACAGTCTGCACATTTTTACCTCCCACCCACCCCAGTGTGATTCCTATATACAGATGGTCTTCAACTTGCAACAATTCACGTAGTGACCATTCAAAGTTACAATGACACCGAAAAAGTGACTTATGGCTATTTTTCACACTTATGCCATTGCAGCATCCCCATAAGTCATGTGATCAAAAATTGGATGCTTGGCAACTGGTTCATATTTATGACCGTTGCTGTGTCCCAAGGTAATGTGATCACCTTTAGCAACCTTCTGACAAGCAAAGTCAATGGGGAAGCCAGATTCACTTAACCACCGTGTTACTAACTTAACAACTGCAGTGATTCACTTAACAACTTTGGCCAGGAAGGTCATAAAATGGGGTAAAATTCACTTAACAACTGTCTCACTTAGCAACATAAATTTTGGGTTCAGTTGTGGGGATTCAACCCTTCCAGACTGAAATCTTCATAGATATAATGCTTTCATTTGAATAGATATCACTCTCTAGTGCCAGACTAGAACCAGGCTGGACAGGTACCAACTGCCAGTAAGATGAAATGAAAGCAAGGAAGGCAGCAGGGAGAACAGCAAGACAGGAGGTCACCTTCTCATCTTATCTGGCCTAAAACCAGATCAAGATTGGGCAGGATAATCTGATAAATTGTAAGGAAACCTTGGACATGCTGACCCCTGTCCAATTGACTCAATGGGCACCTCAAACGTGCCTGTTTAACATCATAGATCACAATTAAATCATCACATTAAACTAACATTTTGGCTTTTGACCAACAATATGAATGAATCGTATGTTTATAAAAGCAGCCATTTTACTACAATTTTGTTCTTTGTGCAAACTCATAAAATAAACAAAGATAATGTAGCCTGAAAGCATAACAAGATTCAGGCATATAAACAAGCTAGGATCATATTGCAGCTTCAGCTCTTGTCTAAGGGCGAAAGCTTGTGAAGTAGGACTTCTAGTGACTTCTAGTCTATGAAGGACCAGCACTACCTAAGGCGAAGTATCCTTTAACATGGAAAAGTAGGAGAAGGAAATTTAAGAGTTTAAACATTGGAGCATAGATATATAAAGACTGACTGCTTTGCACTGCAGCAGACTGTCAACTCTTTTTTATAGTTCCATTCTTCTTGCAATAAAAGTCCTAAACTTGCCAAGTCATATTCAGATATTCTCTGCCAAATATAAACAAGAGCTGAATTAATATTAAGTATCCAGAGATTTGTAATTTGTTGCATAATTCAGGTGGGAAGCCTGGCAGCTAATGCTTAATGGTGGCTATGAAACTGGTATGTATGTATGTATGTATGTATGTATGTATGTATGTATGTATGTATGTGTATGTATGTATGTATGTGTGTATGTATGTGTGTATTTATGTATGCATGCATGTATGTATGTATGTATTTGTTTTATTCATTCATTCAATTTCTATAGCCTATATATCACCTCATGTTTGACATCAGTTTAAACTCACCCACCTAGGCTCTTTTCTCTGCTCAGGTAAAGGGAAAGATAAGTGGGAGGAAATGGAGAAGCCACACCTGCATAGCATCGTTCACATTTTCCATTATTAAGCTAAAATTCATAGCTTATTGTTTCCTATATTCTTGCAATAGAGATTACAAATTATATTGAGAAACAGCAGAGATATCTGGCGGAGGAGCAGAAAAATTAAAAGGATGGTTGAACTATAGGACAGAAACACAGTGCCTTTTTTATGTGCGTTGCATGTAAAAAGCTTCCTTTTTACATGCAACACACATAAAAAAAGGCACTGTGTTTCTGTCCTATAGGTTCAATTATGTTACCACTGGGGCAACCATCTTGACTTTAGTTTTCTAAGCCCCCTTCCTCACTGGAGGATTTCAGTGAAGAATCTTTTTGAAAGAAGAATATTCTAGTCTTAAAGTACCCTGCATCCCATGCTACTGATTACTTTTACATAAACACATTAAAACCAAAAGGGAAAATCAGGCAAAAACAAAGCAAATATTATCTGCAGCTATCTTTGGAACATAATGCTATAAATAAAGAAATGTAACTGAACTTCATTTACCCTGGAGTCTGATTATAAGGAAATATGTATTTAATAATATAGTTAGAAGAATATTGATACAAATGATTATTTCTGTGAATGAAAAAAGATTACTTCTCAAGATCATCATTATAAATAAATAACTAAATTATATTCTACTTAATATCAATTAATTAATCCTAGTTATTTTATTTTGTTTAATCAACAGATTAAATGAGATTACTAATTAAATTAACTGAAGATGTAATCTTGTAGTCTTTAAAGAAGCATTTAAGAATCCACTGGATACATAAGAATTTGCTTTCCAAAGCACAGACAGTATGTATGTCATGTACAGTAAATATTGGTGGACAAAATTTGAATATACTACTTTGTTTTTTAAAAAAAATATTTTAGGGTGTCTTAAAGGCTGCTTGCTCATTCAAGAAGAGAAATTTTGTCTAAGAATTTACACTCGGGACTATGCTCAACTCAAGGTAAGTGAATAGAGTGAATTTGCTTTGAGAAAAGTTATAAATGCCCACTTAATTTAATTAATGCAAAGACAACAATGCCTCTCCCTTCAAATATCAGTGACAATGAAATAGCTTCCACAGTTTTACTTTCTTTAATGCAACTCTTTTGTCCTCAGTGAAAGCTTTCATCATTAATGTGTGCAATTTATTGTCAAAAATATGATGATGGCTTTAAAAGAGGATTAAATGAATTGATAAAGGAGAGGTCTGTCAAGGGCCATTAATTCTGAGAATGCATTGTTACCTCTGAGTTGGGAGTAGCATCCAGGGGCACGGTGGTGGAAAAGAATTACATCTCCAGCTCCTGCTTATGAACAGAATAATCTAGTTGGACATTGTGAATAACAAATGCTGGAGTAGATGGACTGATGAAACAAAGTTATCCCATGTTCTTTCAAAACCTCTAGTGCCCAAATTCTTTCCTCATTAAGATTATTTATATTGCTTGGCAATTGATATACAACTGCTATTTTTCATTCATGCATTCATTTCCTACAAGGCATCATCCTGACACTGTGGTTATATCTTGTCTTCTTTTTATCAAAGGTTTTTAAAATTTGTTTTCTGGTTGCAATTCCCCCCCCCCCCAAAGCATTCTTTTTTCCAAAAAATGGGTTGCACACTATAAGTTGATTTACCTTTCTCCATGCAGATAACTTTGTCATATCTATTAGTATGGACTGAAAATGAGATATGCTCAATTTGGCATTGAGACACATCAAGAGGCTGGAGAGAGAGAAATGTTGAAGTCTACAGGAATTCATTTTCTCTCCACTTGTAGCCCCTAGTAAGCACTCGGGACAACTTGTTTGGGATTCTACAAGTGTCTTGCTCAATTTGTAAGTCTTCCTACCTGAACTGATGGCAACACTCTATATCTAAAAATCCCTAAGTGCTGGTTCTGGGAGACTTCAACACACAGACCAAAACTGGCCTGGTTAAAAAAGCTTAGGATTTCACAGGACAAACATAGATCTTTCCTAGCTTCTAACCAGCCTGACATGAATAGTTGCCTACACTTTTTGGTTTTTTTGCGCTTTAGTTTGATTTAAACTTGCATAAATGATTTTTCTCTATGGAGGAAAGACAGGAACTATTGAAAGGGTTGTCAAATAGTCTTGGGGAGGACAGTCCAATAGAAATACAGATCATTTTAAATGCAGAAAGGGCCAACATGATGGCTCTTGTCCATCACTGCCTGCTTTGCAGAGAACATTCGACTTTCTGATAATTATTCAAATTGAGACCACTGAAGAAAGATGGCTGATGACTAAAAAACAGATGGAGGTAATTTAATACTAGCAAGAATTCATTACCAAGCCAATTCAAGGCTGACAATGGAGAAAAAACCCACAGTTCATCTTTCTCATTGTGTCAAGTGTTCAACACTTGCTCCTAAGGGTCTATTACAACAAGTAAGGTCAGCTGGATTTAATTATAAATTCCTCTTTAGAAGAAGGAATGCTCCCAAGCCTAGTAAAGTATTTCATAATGAGACCAGTCCTGAGAAAGCCATAATTACACCCAGGGAGATTTACATAATAATTGCAGAACAGTTCCTAAAATAATTTTCCTAGATAGTGTCCCACTTCAAAACCGATCAACCCCAAGCATTCTTAAATGAAATGGAGGTTTAGATTCATTTCCATCAGTTTTTAGACCTGAAAACGGCACTGAAACAGATTTGGTTAGCATGTGGGATGATTCTTTCTAAGAGAACGTTGGGGAATGCAACTCAGAGGCTTCCAATACCATTACTGTTACCATCCTATTATTTCAATACCATAATCTTATGCACCACAATGATAAGGCTAAAAACTTCCCACCTAAATTAATTTCCCTCTAATAACACATGATTTGGAAAAACTGTTTGAAAAACCCAAGGCCCACTTTTTTTTTTAACAAAAAAGTCTAACAAAACGTAGAAGAAAATAGTCGGAAGATTGTTACCTGCTGCTGGCCCCACATACACACTGGAATCATTGCTATCTCCACCTTCTTCCCATAAATACTGAGACTGGAGGACCTTGGAGTCTTCCTTTTCCTCACTGAAAAATCCTGAACCAGGTGAGACTTGCAGGGCACCAGGACCAAAATCAGATGCCGATAATTCTAAGTTGGTCTGTTCACTGGAATCCAGAGACTTAAAGTGGGACATTGTTATGAAGTCTACTAAAGAAGTGGAGCTCAGGCCTTCGGTACCAGAATCTTCTGACATAGCTAGGCAAATGCACAGGCAACCTGTAAAAAAAAAGAACCACATCAAAGCTTGTGTGAATCTAGAAAGAAAGAAAAAAATATAGTAGGGTCTCAAAAACAGTCTCATATGTAGAAGCTATAAAATGTCAGGCTGTGGAAAGCTTTTTTAAAATTATTTTTATATTGCTATGTTCTCAAGGTAAATGCACAATAACGATGATGGATATGCTATCTGGGAAAAGGTCATTTTCAAGTGGAAAAAGTGTATTGTATTTGTGATCAAGAAACATAATATATTGCTACCATGGAATCAATTTGAAGAGCTTCAAACAATGCACAAACCCAGACAACCCTCTATATGTGTACACTGAAATGTCCATCTGCCCTCAAAAGGCTTCAAAGAAATATTAAAGGTTACCCATAGTTGCAAGAGTTTCTGCTGTATGCATGGATGTAACCACGTCACGTTGCTTCTTAAAAGGGTCATATCACTGTAGACTTAATTTCAACGATTCATTCTTGTAAGTCTAGATATTTTTTCTGAGACTAAAGTTTTCCTATGTTGATAGGGAAGTTTAGTCACTATATCAGTGCACTATATCAGAGACACTTGTGCGGCAGGCTGAGGTAAAGAGGCAGTCCCAGAACCAGCAAAATCTGGGGGCTGGACAGGGGACAGATTGTTTCTGCCTTCAGTGTGGAAGAGACTGCCATTCTTGAATTGGCCTTTTTAGCCACACCAGATGCTGCCTTAGGACCTCTTTTCAGAGCACGATACCATAGTCTCTCGAGACTGAAGGATGCCAACCATATCAGTGCAACTTCTAAAAACCATTTTTTCCACGATAATCCTCAGTTATTACACTGTTGGTTAACAGTCCACCATTCATTACTATTTCCAAATATTCTACAGACAAACCTTTCATTAATTTAGGATGGTAATTCACTGTAAAAGAGCCTTGAAAGCATTTTCCTTGACTTGAAAGGCCAAGTTTCTATAGATAAAGAATACATATAACTTCCTTTGTTGGCCGAGTCAGATAGATAATAGATGGTGTGTATACTATGCAACACTAGGAATTACAGCCTGACTCATTAGACACAGTATTGTTGTCCAATATCTTAAAACCACTATATTTCTTTTTGCTGAAAAAATTCTTTAAAAAATTTTTTTTTACCAAAGGTAAAAATATTTGGACTAGATTTAATTGTATATGTAGTCAGTATGAAAACAGAAGAAGAATCAATAAAAGAAGCAGGTGTCCAGTAATTCTGGACACCTGAATAGTAAGAAAACATTCATTTATCTAATGTTTATTTGGAAGAGAGTTTCCACAACTGACTCAATATTATTTTTGTAAACCTTTATTGTTCTAGGTTCTGCTTCTCCTCCTCCCACTCCAATCATGTATCTCATCTTAGATCAATAAAACAATAGAACAATAAAACAATAAAACAGGAGAATAGCTTAGACAAAGGCAAAGGCTTGCGAAAGCAGAAGTTATGACAGAGACAGAAATAAAAATCATTGCAGAATAAAGCAGCCGACCAAGACATCTCTGGGCAACCCAGGGGATAGCACACTTCATCAAGTGTTATTTGTACATCGCTAAGTCCGTCAGGCACTCAGATCAAAACATTTCCAAATATGCTTGATTTATAGAAAACATCTTTGCAGGTCAGATTATATCTTCCTTCAATGCTCTTCTTGTTTGGTCTACAAGGAAGCTACAAAAAGAAAAGGGGGTGGCAGAACTGTGTGTCTAGGATTGTTTTTATCCTCACATAGCAGCTGTCACTCTGCTATTATTAGCACCTCAGTATAGCAGCATCCAGAAAACCGTGGAAGCAAGGAATAAAAACATTGGGCTAGGATTATAAACACACATTCAAGCTCATAAACATACTGGCTATAACCAAAGAGACTAATCCTATCTGCCTGAGTAATGGAAGGGCAAACGGTTACGATGCTAGGATCCTTTGATTTTCAAATTCAGTAACACCAGCATCCATTTCCAATGACCTCCAAGTAAGAATGGAGTGCAGTGGACCCAAGCAGCCATAAGTAACTACACAATCCCCATATAATTGGACTTGAGCCATGGGAAGGGCAATCCCCAGAGCTACTTGTTTATATTATTCTAGTACTGATTTTATAATTTAACCTAGTCTGGAAGACACAGGTTAAGGTCAGGTCTTAGGGGACACCACAGAAACATCTACATATTTTTCTTGACAGTTGTACAACAGTACTGGCTATTACTGTCTTCCCAAATGTTTTTTCAATTTCCAGAGCCAGCCTACAACCTTGGGTTCTCTGGGGGTATCCTATGCAAATCCTAACCAGGAATGGCCTTGCTTGGTTTAGATCTTCTGGCAGCTGCCATCTCATGAAGACACATACATTGGTTCACTATTGCTCAGTTCTATTGGATAGTTTCATAAGATGCAAACATGAGTCATTGTTATGCAGAACAGAAGCACAAAAATTAAATTCTATTACCGGTCATGTTATGCACAATAAGAAAAAAGTTGCCAAGTGCAAACATAGAACAGAGCACAGACCCTTGATGCATATATTTATATGGTAAATAACATACTTGGAGGAATTATCAGTCTTTCCATTCTTCTTAAAGTATTACCATTTTAAATACAAACCACCAAGAGTTGTGGTGGTGGAATATATATAGTAAGTGTAATAAACCAGCAATTAAATATTAATTCCAATCTAAGTTCCTAGGAAGCTAGCAGCAGAATTCAGTTTTAACAATCTGTACCTTTACAGAATGAAGAAGTATGAATAGTTGTATTGAACTGAATGAAAAACAGTAATTCTTTATTTTCTATTCTAATCAGATCTGATTTATATCAGATTAGACATAGTTCTATTTTCAATGAAGCACTGAATATATTTTACTCCTAACATAGTTCTGTTAAGTGTGATAAAGTTGACTTCTTGACAACATATTGAGAAGTACAACTCTAGGTCAAAAAGTAGTAGGAGAAGCTTATGAATCTTCTGGCTGTAAGTTTAGAAAAGTTTTTACTGTTTTATTCTATTAATTATTATATTATGATTATTAGCATATCTTGCTCAAAACTTACTTTAGAAACCTGATTACATGAAGGAACAAATTGCAGACTTGATCTCAAGAACCTTTGTTTACATTTAAACAGATCCCCAGGGACCGCTTCAGATCTATTTGTCACTCCTTCTTTATTCTCTATGCATGCCTTATGGAAAGGTCTAAAGTTGAATTAAACCCCAGACGCTTGTGATGAGCTTGGCCTGCAGGAAAACTAATCCCATTAGTGCAGGAGATCAGGTCTCAGTAGTTTATTTACCCTCATTTAATACTGAACTGTCTACCTAGTTTAAACTCCTTAAGATGATCCTATTTACCAAGCAGACTACTACTGTATCTTGCTAAGATAAAATTACACTAATGAAAATACAAAAGGGAATAATTGTATACTGTATACTTTCAGCACAGGTTTCAATCTAGAGTTTAATTCAAATATAGATTTATCTCTAGGTATTACAAGAGGTGTGGAAAGAATCAGAGAAAACTATGTACAATTGTGAAACTTTGATTTTGGAAAAAGCAAAAGTCTTTGAGTCTTAATTGGAGCATGAGCCAGATAAGATTAAGTAAAACAAAATATAAATGCTTGTATCTAATTGGACTATCCCAAAATGGTGTTTTGTATGTCAGGAATGGAATCTGATATTAACAATTTAGCCACACAGCATAAAACTCCTCACAAAGGATGCTATGGGAAAGGAATACATATGTGACTTAACTGTCTTTCATCTATTTAGAAGTCACAGCAAGATTCTGACAAGGAAACTTTATTACTGCTTTTGTAATTGTGGAAATGGCTCACAGAATTCAGCTGGGAAAGTGGGTGCAGGCAAGGTCAGTTCCCTCTGCAAAATAAGAATTGGGGAATAGAGAGGAAATCAAAATTCCACCAATGGGGGCAAGAAGATTACAGCAGAAGGACTGTAGCGTGTCGTTTACCCAGGGTGGATATCAAAGAAAGGGAGGTTTGTTCCTCAGGCTAACAGCTGTGAGGGGGGGGGGAGCCCTGTTGTAAGAGGATGGCAGATGCAAGGGTATCTCCCAAGCAAGGAAATAGTAAGAGAGCAAAGAACAAAATTCCCAATGAAATAATAGTCCGGCTGTGGAGCCAAAAAGGAGGTCTGTCTGAAGGAACCACCTGTCAGATGGATCAAGTCAGGAGGCTTAAGACTGGAGTCATGTCAGGAGCTGGACTAGCTGAGGGCAAGGGAGAGCTCAACCAAGGAATCTATCAAATGCCTGAGGTTGATTAAAATCTGCAGAAGGAATGCCATAAGATGTATAGTCAAGAGTCTAGAAATGCTATGTGAGCAGCACCTTTGAAAAGCCCTCTGCATAAAGCCCTCTGCATCAGGCATAAATGCTTTACGCTGAGCAAAAGAGCAGCCTGAAAAGCAGGGTTTACTTGCGAATACTTTTTAACGATTATTGGCTCAGGGAGTTACCGTAAAAACGGTTTTCGGGAAGTCTTCAATTTACAAAACATTCATTTAGTGCCCAAAGTTACAACGGCACTGAATAAAGTGATCTATGACCATTTTTTATACTTACGACTCCTGCAGCATTCCTGTAGTCACGTGATCAAAATTCAGATGCTTGGCAACTGGGGATGTATTTATGACAGTTGCACTGTCCTGGGATCATGTGATCAGCTTTTGCGACCTTCTGACAATCAAAGTCAATGGGGAAGCCAGATTCATTTAACAACTGCAGCAAGAAAGCTTGTAAAATGGGGCAAAGCTCATTTAACAACTGTTTTGCTTAGTCACAGAAATGTTGGCCTCAAATGTGGTCATAAGTTGAAGACTACCTGTGTAAGCTTCCTATCCCTACAGGAGATACTTTGTGACCTAGTGGAATGGCGAAACAGCTCAGTAAAACACTGTAAGGCCCCTGATCTGCTGATTGTCTGCTACCAGCACAGGTATCCTGCATAAAGTCCACTAAAATAAGAAA